CAACTCCTAAATTCTATGATTCTAAGATACTCACTTACTTGGACCTTTCAGCTCTGTGCAGTGCTCAGCACACCTAACACTATGTGCATCTGCTTTCAACACTCCTCTCACAGCAACTCCATCTGTTGCAGCAAATGTACCACTGTTGTGTGTCACACGTGCACATGGTGTGTTCCAGCTTTTTTATCAGTATTAATGCGGTTTCTAAACATTTTTGGCTTTTGATTCTTTTCTTTCCACATCATTTCTGTGTCTATGTGGTGTCAGTGCTTTCTGCAAGTGAAAGCTCCTGAATGTGCTCTTGGTTACTAGTGTGTGTGTAAAATGTGTTCCCTGCATTCCTGGCAGGAAAGGGACCAGGCGCCAGGGAATTCAGGAAGGAAGGAGCTATGCCAGAGGTCCTTAAAGAGCCAGGACAGGGTGGGCTGGCTGGAACTGAGGAAGGTGATATGGGGAAGGGTTTAAGTGATCAAACAACTCCTTCCTTTGCTCATCAGGTACTGGCTGCTCCTTCTCACTGAAGCTCTGAGGGAAAGCACAATCCTCTGCAGTCCAAAGGGCTCAGCCCACAGAACAATCTCAGTCAGGTTAAAAGTAAGCAAAGCCCATCCTGAGAATATTGTCTAGGCAGGAATTCAGATCAAGATTGCACGACTAGAAAGGCCTGGAAAACATGTGAGATGAGGAAGGGCTGAGGGAGTTGGGTTGGTCAGCCTGGAGAAGAGGCTCAGGGGTGACCTCCTGGCTCTCTGCAACTCCTGCCAGGGCTGGAGAGAGGTGTGGGATGTGTGTCCTGCCAGGGCTGAGGGAGAGGAGAGAGGGAATGGCCTTGAGCTGAGCCAGGGCAGAGTCAGATTGGATGTGAGGAGAAATGTTTTCCCTGTTGTGGTGTTGAGGCCCTGGGATATTGCCCAGGGAGGTGGTGCAGTCACCATCCCTGGAGGTGTTTCAGAGGTGTCTGATGTGGCACTGGAGGATCTGGGTTAGGGTTTGGGGGTTCCAGCAGTGACAGGTTCATGGTTGAACTCGATGATTTAGAGGTCTCCCCCAACCCTGATGGTTCTGTGTTCCATTCCCTCATTGCCCTCAGAGGATTTAATGAGTATTGAATTCCTGCACAGCAGACATGTGATGAGCTGATAACTCACCCGCTGAATCTGTTCACTTTCTTCCTCAGTGGCTGTTCACTTCAGGAGACTCTTTATTCCACTGCCAGTAAGTCCTCCAAATAGGACACTAACGTTTTGTTGTCATTTCCTGGCTCTTAACTCCAACAATAGACCATTCATACAGTACAGTGCCTTGTCTTCAGGGAACTGGGATGAGAAATCTGTCCAAGCGAGGGAAACCCAGAGAGTGAAAATCCCAGTCAGATACTATAGAAAGGTAAAGGGAAAAAACAAGTAGGAAAGTAACAATTTAAGTGCAGAATATGGTCTTAAGGGATGATGACATCCCTGTTTCTCTGCATGTGGAAGTGTATATTGTATGTAGGCTGAGTTTCACAATCCAGGCCACTGTGCAGGAGCTCAACACAAAGATCTCTACAAGAATCACCAAGTGCCTCAAACACTTCTGCCACATCCCCACAGGACCTGAGAGGATACTGACACAGGACACCAAAGCAGCTTTGGGTTTCTTGTCCCACTGTTTGGAAACAGCAGCTGAAACACTCTTATCTTACCTTTTATGGTCCAAAGTATGGGAAGTTCTCAATTTTCAAGGCTTCAGAAGTCTCATCCAACAGCTTGGAAAGGATGGAGGAGCTGAGAACTGTTGGCACTTAATGTATTTTGCAACCCTGAGGGATGTGTGGGCAAAATCAGGGTGGAAATAGAGCTATGGTAGATTTAGGCTCAGATTTAGGACTCAAACTGTGTGATGTGATGCCAGCTCTAAGGGGCGGGGGAGAAGCTCCTGGTCAGTCATCAGGGGATAAACTGACACCTCCTTTTCCATGCTAACCCTGATGGCAAAACTCTTGTCCAGCTAGTTAGGGAGATCCAAGATCATGAGACAAAAGGAACCTTTGCCTGAAGCTATGGGGAACTGCAAAGGTATTTTCCTTTGCACTTGGGGACACTCAGACCCAGGAAAAAACGGCAAAAACTAAAAGGCTCAAGAGCAGATCAATACAGCATATCCCAAACACAGCCAACTGGGACTCACAGTCTGAGTCATCCTCAGTGAGATTCCACTGGAATATTTCTGTGTCCTAATACTGTTCATTAACAGAGGAAAAAAAAAGGAGTTTGTTCTTTTTTAGAAGATACAAACCAGAGAACACCAAATTATGGAGCAGTTAGATTAGGCAGGAAACTGAGTTCGTTTTTTTTTCCAGTGGATCCAAAAACTTAGAAATGCTTTTCTGTCTTTTGTAAGTTTCACACATTTCCTAATTGATTAATCTTACTTAAACACGAGGCTAGTAAAATAATTGCAAATCTCTTATCTCCTCGACATGCCTCTCAGGATAATCCACAGTCCAACTCCTTCGGAATTTTCCATCAGAGCAATGTGTTTTCCAGCACAGCTCTCAGCAAGAGCCAAATCTGGTGAAGAATAGGAGGTTTAACTTGCCTCAGCTAAACCTTTCTGTCGCTGCCCCTCATCAGTATCACAGAATCACAGGATTTTAGGGGTTGGGATGGAGCTGAGAGCTCACCCAGCCCCAAGCCCTGCCCTGGGCAGGGACACCTCCCACCAGAGCAGGTTGCTCAAGGCTCATCCAACCTGGCTGTGAACACTGCCAGTATCAACTAGTACAGCTATCCACATTTAAGGAGAATTGCAGCATCAATTTGAATGTGTAACTTGAATTTTCAGCAAACAAAACGAACCTAAGAATGACTTACCACAAGGGAAACATCACATAAAGCACAAGGAATTCTCACTGAGCTATGGAATCTGTTAACTGAGGCTAAGACAGTTAGAAGCTAAGACAAAGATGCACTAGAATAGATACACTATGCAATCATAGAATCAGTCAGGGTGGAAAAGACCTCCAAGATCAAGTCCACCCCTACCGTGGTCACTAGCCCATGGCACTAAGTGCCACGTCCAGTCTCAGCTTGAAAACCTCCAGGGATGGCGAATCCACCACCTCCCTGGGCAGCACCTTCCAATGCCTGAGCACTCTCTCTGCAAAAAATCTCTTCCTAATCTCCAACCTAACCCTCCCCTGGCAGAGCTTGAGTCTGTGCCCTCTTGTCCTGCTGCTGGTTGTCTGGGAGAAGAGACCAACCCCCACCTGACTCCAACCTCCTGTCAGGGAGTTGCAGAGGGTGAGAAGGTCTCCCCTGAGCCTCCTCTTCTCCAGGCTCAACACCCCCAGCTCCCTCAGCCTCTCCTCATGCCACTTGTGCTCCAGTCCCTTCCCCAGCCTCGTTGCTCTGCTCTGGACCTGCTCCAGCCCCTCAATGTCCCTCCTGAGCTGAGGGCCCAGAACTGACATAGATAAAAATCAGCTCATTTCCATTCACCTACTCAGACAAAGCACGCAAAAGAAAACCAGAGCCATGTGTAAGGGGAGGCCAAATTGTTTTATTTAATTTTTTAGTGACCAATTGTATGTTTGGCAGGAAGCTCTGCTCTTTCTTTGCTTTTTTATTTTTTTTTCTGATTTTTTTTTCTTTAAAGAAATCAACAGTGCTCAAATTCATGGGTTGGAATTTTCACTCAAATTCCAATTAATTTCAAAACCAAACAGATGAACAGGAAATACCAGATTAAAGTTTCCAGAGCAGAGAGCAAAATTTCACTTTTTTTTTTTTTAAATGAAAAACCCATGTTGGTACTTGATTGGGAAAACAATGTCCAAACTATTGTCAGTAGTGCACGAGGAGAACATTCACATTTCATCTGGAGCCTTAAAAAACCAGGAAGCTGTAACTCTCCTTCTGAAGTCTTCATTACCTTGTGCAAAGCAAGTCAAGTCTTCATGTGTCAAGCACACAAGTAAAACTGTCCTTAATTTTTTTTTATGTACAGGAACATCTACCAGTTCAGGCAGTGCAAAATACATCCTTTCATAACAAAACTAAAATGTACCTCTCAAAGTATGAACAAGAATATACACATAATACATGATGTACACTATTTACACACCCATAAAAAATATCATACAAGGGTTGCTTTTGTGGTTCTAAGACTTGACAAGTCTCTTTGCAAAATCTTTTTTTTTTTCTGTTGCAACAAGGCATGGTTGAAAGTTTCCTGGATGGAGTTGTGTGTTTTTCTTTGCCAATGAGATTTTTTTTTTTTTTTGGAGAAGCTATGCTTGGACTTTGAGGAGAGTTTTCAAATGGACTGCCATCAACTCCCTGTTTTGGTCAGAGGGTTCAGCTGTGCCTCCCACCCAGTGGCTGGGAGGCTTTGGGAGGACACTGGGAGAGGGAGGGTCGCTGAACTTGGCCCCGGCATAGTTTTCCTTTTGGCTGGGCTCACTCAGGGACACAGCTCTCCTGGCCTTGGCATTCCTCAAGTTCTCCGCGTTTTTCAGCGGCTTTTTCTCCTGCTTCTGCCCCACCTCGGCTGACACAGCCTCCTGCCACAAGTTCTCCACCTTCTTGGCCGAGGACAGGCGCGGGGTGTTGCATTTGCCCTTCTGCCTGGTCACCTTGGGCTGCTCACACAGGTGGAAGCTGTGAACGGGCTGGGGGATGGCAGTCTTGTCTGTCTTGCCCATCTTGGTCTTTAGGAGCTGCTGGGACACAAAGGAGGCAATGTCAGCTACAGCACCTTGTCCTGCTGTCACCAGAATCAGAGAGTCACAGCATTTTAGGGGTTGGGATGGAGCTGAGAGCTCACCCAGCCCCAAGCCCTGCCCTGGGCAGGGACACCTCCCACCAGAGCAGGTTGCTCAAGGCTCAGCCAACCTGGCTGTGAACACTGCCAGGGTTGGGGCAGCCACAGCCTCCCTGGGCACCCTGGGACAGGGTCTCACCACCACAACAGGCAAAACTTCTGCCTAACATCTAACCTCAATTTCCCTCCTTCAATTTGTGCCCATTGCCCCTTGTGCTGTCCCTGCAGCTCCTAACACAGATCCCTCTGCAGCTTCCCTGGAGCCCCTTCAGCTCCTGCAAGGTGCTCTGAGCTCTCCACACAACCTTCTCTTCTCCAGGCTCAACAGCCCCAACTCCCTCAGCCTGTGCTCACAGGGAGATGCTCCAGTGCTCTGAGCAGCTCTGTGGCCTCCTCTGCACTTGCTCCAACACTTCCATGTCCTTCTCAGGCTGAGGCCCCAGAGCTGTGTGCAGGATTCCAGGTGGGTCTCACAGAGCAGAGAGTGAAATCAGGAGGAAAACTCCTTGACACCAATGTAGTGTTAAGCACAGGAATTATTTACTGCAGTGCTGGATACTCAGGAGATGCTCCACCAAGTGTGCACAGCTAGCTACATAAACTCCAGTCTTTTACACACATAAATTATACATACTCAGTCATGTCGTTACATATTGATTAATGATTTCCCTGGCATCATTACCCTAAGCCCTCCCCTCATTCTAACATCACACATACTCACTAACCTGAGGCTGTGGTCCCAGGGCTCTGCTTTCATGCCCACCCAGCAGCTCAGTCTGTAAACTCTGTCTGCCCTTCCTGTACTTTTAGTCCTTTTAATTCATGTTTGCCTAGCCCATGTGTACACATCGATCACATCTTTGTTCTCTTTTTGTTCCACCTATCTCCTGGTTCCTGCCCAGTGAGCACATCTTGTCTACAACACAGTTCCCCATTCCTAGCCCAGTCCCCTCGTCCTATACACATTGTTCCAACCTCTACCGAAAACATACACTCCCCCATTTCTAACCCAGCCTCCTAAGCTCTCATTATCTAAGAACACAGCTCTCTAACACACTTTGCTTTAACTATTGTCCAAGAGCACAGCCCTCTGTCTGGGTTAACCCTATCACTGCCGGGGACAGTGCTCAGCTTGGCAACAACAACGCGTTGGCTGCAGCGGGAGGGACTCGAGGGGACACAGGGAGAGGCCTCGGGGGGCACAGAGAGGGGACCCCGGGAGGGGACTGGGAAGGCCCCGAGAGGCTCCCGGAGGGGAACCCAGAAGGGACCAGGAGAGGCTCTCAAGGGGCCCCGAGAGAGCACAGGGAAGGTCCTGAGAATCGACCAGGAGGAGACCCAGGAGGGGATCGAGAGGGTCCTGGAAAGGCACCCGAAGAGCCCCAGGAGGGCACGGGAGAGCCCCGAAAAGGGACCTAAGAAGGGTCTGGAATGGCACAGGGAGAGACGCTCGGGAGGGCACCCAGGAAGGCTGCGAGAAACGTCTTGAGAAAGTATCCGAGAGAGGACCGGGAGAGCAAGGGGAGGGGATCATAGGGGGCACCGGGGAGGGCACGGAGAGAGAACCCTCGGGGGAGGAACCCG